ATAACAAATATCACCTCGTTGCACTTCATAGAGAAATAAACTGCGGTGTGACTCAATCAGGTTAAAAACCATCAGCGTGGGTCAAAGTTCAGAGTTAATCTTCTTTATTTTCTGAATCACTTCAGTGGTTTTTCCTTTACATCAAAGGGAGGCGGGGTCCACATCAAAAGCTGTAGTAATTCATTTTCTGTAAAGACCAAAATCATACAAAGATCCATTTTGTTGAGCGTCCCGAGGCAGACACTTGAATAGCCTCAGCATCTGAAAGAGAGTTTAATCTCCGGACTGCAGACACGCCTGTTCCGCATTCAGGATGTTGTCTGGAGATGCTCTGACGGCAACAATACTCTGAAAACTCTGCCAGACAAAGAGACGCTGTTTCACCGGATCACATACTTTTGTTCTCTACAAATTCCACTCACTTTAGCACTTAAAGAAATACATTTGTGAGCACCTGTGAGCATGGCTTTGCACCTGTAAAAATGAAACGCACATAAAAAATAAAAAAAACATTTCTGGAGGATGTGGACTGGTTGTCAGAAGTTTAAAGAGAAACTACAAACAGGCAAAGTGACGGTGGAGGAAATTAAAATTGAAAATGAATTAGGATATTTATCAGGTTTTGACTGGGAAGCACGGTGGTGCGGTTGATAGAGCTGTTGCCTATCAATGAGAAGGTCGCAGGTTCAAATCTTGGACCAGGACATTTCTGGGTGGAGCTTGCATGTTCTCTCCGTGCATGTGTGGCTTTTCTCCATTTCCTCCCACAGACCAAAAACATGCATGTTAGGCTGATTGGTAACACTAAATTGTCCCTAGGTGAGAGTGAGAGAGTGAACGGTTGTTTGTCTCTATATGTCCCTGTGATGGACTGGAGACCTGTCCAGGGTGTACCCCGCCTCTCGCACAGTGACTGCTGGATATGAACACCTGTGACCCAAAAAGGAAGAAGCAGATAAAGATGATGCCTAAATTCTGACTGCATGCGTCAGATGGATGGACACAGGGTATTTCCAGTTCCCCCTGTTCGCTCTGTGACGAGGGACAAAAAGGGCCTGTGGGTACTCTAAACTAGTGGTTCCCAAACTATTTTCCTTTAAGCCCCCCCCCCCCCCCCCTCTTACTTCCGAGCCAATCTGAGCCCCCCCAATCCCTCACTACTCCCCTCTCCCAAAAGACTCAGATTGATTTCTTTATCAAAGTGATAAAAGAATAATGTAAATATTATAAGTAAAACATTATAATTAAAAATAAAAGCATATTTTCTAAAGTTGTTACACATACAGTAAATTGATATTTTTACAACCTGAGCAGAAACATTATGCCCCCCCCCCCTCCCCCGAGTTGGGAATCACTCTAAACCAGGTGTGCCCAAACTTTTTCCCTGCGAGGGCCAAATTTTAAAATCTATCAGAAGGCTGCGGGCCAAATGCAATAATATAATACATAAAATGCAAATACTTCTTTAAGTAAAGTCCATTTATTTTTTATACAGTTGTTTAACATTTCATTCTGTATAAAGAACATTTCAGAAAACAAAACATAACAAGTCATATAAAAAAATTAAAACAAATATTGAAATTTTTGCATTTCATTATGAGTATGTGTAGTGCAACGTGTCAAAAAATGCATGCCCAACAGCAACACAACTTAACACATATTAACAATAATATGAACATAAACAATAATAACAATAACAATAATATGAACAGTCACATATATAGTGATTGGACCGATTTTTCCTTCTAACATTAAAGTCAAAAGAAGGAATAACTGAGTGAAAACACATAGATTCTTCAAAGGAAATTTTATTATAGTAACAAGGACAGCTTGGTGGGACAACTTTGGCCTGCGGGCCCCACTTTGGGAACCTCTGCGTCAAAGGCCCGGGGGCCAAATGTGGCCCTCATTGACATCTTATCTGCCCCCCAAGATGTTATTTTAAATGTAAAATACTTTTATCTCTTTAATTTTTTCAGTAATCTTTAATTATGATGTCAAAACTGTAACAGAGAACATTAAATGAGACCAATCAAACTCTCGTTGAGGAACCTGCAACCAAGAAAATAAGTTGGGTATCTGATTTGAGTTCATGTAGATTCTGAAACCAGCCTTTAGTTTGAAAAAGGTTTTAATTTTTTCTCCCTTTTGTAAAAGGGTTTGACACCCCTGAGTGATCCCTCATGGTGGCCATGAGATGGCACCAAGGAGCTTGTTCAAAGACAAACTACAGTTCATCATCACAGACCTGATAGGTTTTAACATCTATTATCTTTACCTACTACTTCCTTTTTAGGTCACAGGGTTTAACAGTCTCAACAAATATTTAGTGACTGATACCAGCTTCCTGACATCAAACAGAAACAGGAAAGCCCTTAAAACCACTTTATTAATTCAAGTTCAAGGTTCAAGTATCTTTACTGTCATTCGCACCACATGTGGTACATGAGGTGGAACGAAATTGTGTACTCAAGGTCCCAGTTACACCCTAAAAATAGCAAAAATATAAAGTATAATTATATATATAGTAAAACTTTTTTTGTTGACTTTTTGAGTATTTTCATCTAAAAGTTGTGTGGGTTTGATCAAGTGGTAGATGTTTAGGAACGTGATTTAAAATGTTGTTTTAAGCTAATTAGCTTCAGTCAGTCTGCGGTCGACGTCTCACCACGAGGCGGTGTTAGTGCATGACGGTGTGTGAGTAGACGGTCCAGATAAGTGAAGTGTACACTCAAGGACTGAAAATGAGACTGGTTTGAATACATATGGTTAAATTCATTGTGTTTATTTAGGTAAAAGGACAAATGTATCCTATTTTTATTTTAATACAAATACATTCACCTACAGCTGCCTGAATGAAAGCATTATATATATATATATATATATATATATAATGATAAAGAATATTGGCATTGTTGCAGAGAATGAAAGAATAACCCAGCATCAGACTCACCTCACTACCAGATGAAGAGCTTCTCAGCGTGACTTCAGTAGAAGTAAGGAGTACTTTCAGGAGGATTAACCCTCACAAGACAACCGGCCCAGACAACATCCCCGTGAAAGTGTTGAAAGAATGTACCGATCAGCTCTGCGAGGTGCTGGCAGACAGCTTTATCACCTCACTTACCCTGGAGACAGTTCCCACCTGCCTGAAGACTGCCACCATCATCCCAGTCCCAAAGAGCTCTACAGTGACTGGTCTGAATGACTATCGGCCAGTGGCCCTCACCCCGATAGTCGCTAAATGCTTTGAAAAACTGGTCATGACTCACATCAAAACAACCATCAACATCAACGAGGACCCTCATCAGTATGCATACCGTGAGAACCAATCAACAGAGGATACCATCTCCCCTGTGGTCCACATTGCGCTCAACCACCTGGAGCAGAAAAACTCTTACGTCCATATGCTCTTTGTGGACTTCACATCCGCCTTCAACACCATGATCCCCCAAACCCTGATGGACAAACTATCCACACTAGGACTAAGCCCCTCCATCTGCAACTGGGTACTAGACTTTTTAACAAACAGACCACAGTTAGTGAGGATCCACAACTTCTCTTCATCCACCATAAACCTCAGCACTGGCTCTCCTCAGGGATGTGTGCTGAGCCCTCTCCTGTTTACTCTGCTCACATATGATTGTGCAGCTACCCATCCAGGCTGCAACACTGTAAAGTTTGCAGATGATACAGTGGTGGTGAGATGCATCACAAACAATGATGAGTCCAGCTACAGGCAAGAGGTGGAACACCTGGAGAGCTGGTGCAGAGAGAATAACCTTCACATCAATGTGAAGAAGACAAAGGAGATGATTATGGACTTCAGAAGGAACAAAAACATCTACACCCCCCTGAACATAAGAGGATCTGCAGTGGAAGTTGTCTCCAGCTACAAGTACTTGGGTGTACACATGAATGACAACCTGAGCTGGAGCAACAACACCACCAGCCTGATCAAGAAAGCTCATCAGAGACTCTACTTCCTCAGACGGCTGAGGCGAGCTGGTCTGGGAAGCTCAGTCCTCACCTCGTTCTACAGGTGTGCAGTGGAGAGCATCCTGTGCTCCAGCATCAACTTGTGGCATGGAGGCTGCACAGCTGCAGAAAGAAAAGCTTTGCAGAGAGTGGTGAAGGCTGCACAGAAGACTGTTGGAGTCAGTCTCCCCACCATCACAGACATTTACACCTCCAGATGCAGGAAGAGGGCCACCTGCATCATGAAGGGCCCCACTCACCCAGCACACACACTTTTTGCCCCGCCCCCCTCAGGAAGGAGGTGGAGGAGCATTAAGTATAGAACCACTAGACTGAGGAACAGCTTCTACCCTGAAACTTAGCTTAGATTCATGAATCCCTAACCAGAATAATCACTGTGAAAAAAATCACATCACATTGCTGCTGATCTGTTTCATGTTGCTGCTGATCTGTTTCATGTTGCTGCTGATCTGTTTCATATTGCTGCTGATCTGTTTCATGTTGATGTGTTCCTGCGTGCTCATCTGCTCACACAGACTCATGTTCGTGCTGCTGTTTGACGTAATGTTTTAAAGCAATTTTATGCTAGTGTTTAGTGTTTGTTTATTAATGTTTTTCTTAGTTCATATCTTAGATCTTATTACAGTTTTTCTTTTGCATTTTATTGTTGGATGTAACTGGGATCCTGTGTACATAATTTCATTCCACCACATGTGTTGGAATGAAATTACATTTATTTATGACAAATAAAGAACCTTGAATCCAAATATCACAATTCACATCTTAGTATGCGTCATCCAGCTCCAACCAGATGAGCTTGTTTAGATTAAGTTTGTTTTTTTATTTTTGTTTACTTCAACCACATCCTGAATGACGACTCACTTCTGATCCAACAAACTTAGTTTAGTCTTTATTCTGCATTTTCTCATCATGTCTTTATTCATGGATATCAAAAACATTGTTTTCATCACAAGGAGACATCAGAGCAGAAAGATAAAAGATTAAAACAGAAAACTCTCCGTTGTTTGTTTGTTTTTGTCAATAACGTGGATCAACATCTTTGATGCTTAAGAACGGCGGCTCGCCTCCAGGGCTTCACAGTTCGGACTTCAGCAGCTTCTTGGCCTTCTGCATGTTGCTGATCACTGAGGAGCAAACGAGAAACATTTAATCTGAACGTTCTGTCAAAGTTCAGCTGAGAGACAAATGACTGCAGAAAAAGCTGAAACTGAGCCAGTGAAGCTAAAACAAGCTGAACCTAGATGAAAATGAGCAAAACACAAGCTATGAGCAGCAGAACGGTAGGAGAGTTCAGCAAAACTTTTTAGCTAAAAGTTAAAAGGAGCAAAATAATAGCTAAAAATTACAAAGCAGAACATTAGTTAAAAGTTAATAATAGCTAAATGTAAGCTTAACAGTAGATAAAAATAGCACAGTACTCAAAATTAGCTAAACTATCTTGAAGTTAAAATATTATCTTAAAGCTAAAAGGCTAAAAGCAAAATTGTAGCCAATGAGATAAGAAAATTAACTAAAGCAAAAACTAGTTAAACATAGTAAAACTGTAGCTAAATGTTAAAAGAAGCCGAATAATAGTTAAAAACAAAAATAACCAAACATCTCCTAAAAGCTCAAATTTGTAGCTTAAAGCCAAATGTGGCTTAACAACAGTTATAAGCTGCAAAACAGTAGCTAAAATTAAAAGCATCAAAACAGTAGCAAAAATTAAAAGCATCAAAACAGTAGCTAAAATTAAAAGCATAAAAACAGTAGCTAAAAAGAAAAGCAGCCAAACAGTATCTACAAGAGCAGAAGACCAATTAAAAACTAAACACAGCAGATAAAATTATAGATTTTAGCATAAAAGCACAGAATTACAGCTAAAAAACATAACAGAAGCAGAACAGCAGCTAAAAACTAAAACAGTAAAATAAAAATTGAAAAATTGTAAAATTGTAGCTTAAAACTTATGATAGCAGAACATTAGCTGAAAGCCAATACTAGTTAAACGGTGGCTAAACATTGTCAAACTAAAGCTAATGGCTAAAAGTAGCCAAATTGGAATAAAAGCTAGAAGTAGGTAAACAGTAGCTTAAAGTAGCAGAGCAGTAGTTAAAGCTGCAAGTAGCAGAATGGTAGCTACAAGCTAAATGTAGCACAGTAGTAGTAACAGCTGAAAGTATCAGAACAGTAGCTTAAAGCTAAATGTAGCATAGTAGTATTAGTAGTAACATATGAAAGTAGCTAAATGGTAGCTAAAAGTTAAAAGTAGCACAAGAGGAGAGTAAAAATACGGAAGCAGACTCCAAACAGAACTTTTTTTCAAAGAAATTAAGAGATAATAATGCGTTGCTACAGATTTGTACTTTAACTGAAGTTAAGTATTTTAAAAAGTATAAAAGTTATAAAGGTCAAAGGTCAAGGCCAATCAACTGATAGTTTTGTTTTATGAACAAAGTATGAGAAAGTAATTTTACAGCACAAAAAACACAAAAGAACAGGAGAACAACAAGCGAATGCTGACTCAGCGCTCACACGACAAATCCACACAAACACAAACAACACACTCAGACCGCCCTCAGACACACAGGACTCACAGAGCTTGATGTCCCCGGGCTCGTAGGCGTACATGCGGTTGGAGTATGGTCCGGTGATGTCAGCTCTCACAGTCATGGAGGGGTCTGCAGCAAGAAGGTTACGGAGTGAGGGAAACGAAGGGAAACTGTACGCATCTACTGCTACATGTTGGCACCAACATCAACAAGAGGTTTTATTTTAAACGCATCACATTCTGCTCTTCTACACATTATAAAATCATTTACAGTTAGCTGGGTGAACATGAGGCAGTGTGGGGATCATAGCCTAAGATGCTAAACCAAGTGTAGCATGTTGGAGATACTACGAATAACTGTAATCTCTGCCAACTGTCTAAAGAATCACTGTGCACAAAGGTCTCACCGACAAAAATAATCCGTGGAACATATTGCCCGTCAGGGGAGAGGTGTTTGTCGGTTGTTTCATACTGGAAAAGAGAAGACAATATGTCACTGATCATCAGATTTGGAGTTCATGTCTACAAGGAGCATTTTTTTTAATTAGTAAGTGGCAATTGATAATGAAAAAGCTTGAGTGTGTTTGTTTGTCTGTTGGCAAAATATCTTTCAGTAAGTTAACATTTGATGAAATGGCCACCACAGCTTTATATTTTATATTTTCATTTCAGACGGAGATAATTCTAAGTGACTATTATTGTAGAAAAATATTAATAATAGTATTTTAAGCTGTTAGGGTTGTTGATTTGCCCCTCAGGAACATCACGCAGTTAAAGGGACATCCAGGGATTAAATAACACAACGCTGCATAATCTGCTATTCTTATGAATGACAGTTTATCAAATATTGCATTTTGTTCTAGGGCAATTAAAGTTTGTGGTTCTGCACAAACTTTAATTTGTTGTAAAAATGATTTTAAAATACCCTGCAGACTTGGGCATCAGAATAATTAGATGGAAACTGGTGATGGACGACAACTAAAAACATTCAGAAGAAGAATGTCTGCAGTTAAATTGATGCTAAACAATGAATCATTAACAAGTTGTTAGGTAAGTCTGGCTTTTTATAACCCGAACAAGCGCACAGGTGGAGAATGTGAACTAAAACACTTGTTTTTAGCAGACTGATGTGATGTGGACCTACCATTAGATTAAGGACGATGAAGTCCTCGTCCAGAATTTTCTGGAGCTCGTTGTTCTCAGAGAACACCTTCTTCAAGGCTGATGGACAAACACAGTTAAAGGGAGAGTCAGGTCATTTTAAAGGGCTGCTCTGTCTGATAGTTATCATTAGTTATCAGCTGAATGTCACCTGCAGAGCCCAGAGTGTGGAGAAAAAGGCAAAAGTTTTCACTCTAGCTAGATTTATAGACAGATACATGATTACCCCTGTTTAAATTGTTTTTGAGCTTCTGAATCAACTCTTTTAAAAAATGATATTCTGTTGTAAAAAAAAAAAGGCTACATTAGCTCATATTAAACCTTTAGGGTCTGCAACTGGTGGCTCTGGGGCCACACACGGCCCTTCAGTCACTTTCCTGTGGCTCAATGTTGCGTCAACCATAGCATAATATTGTTTATATTCATAATTACAACACCAAAAGGCTAGTTTTAGCAGTTTATCTCAAATTTTGTAAAAAAAAAATAAATAAATAAATCAAACATGTAAATTAAACATCTGTGACAAAATGACACTAAAAATAGAAGAAAAATCAATCAGTTTCTGCTTGTAGTTTGTTAGCCTTTTAGCCACTTTTTGCTCTTAACTTACATTTTTTCCTCACTTAAAACAAGTCGTTTATGGGAAAAAAAAACTGAAAGTGAAGATTTGCACACATATTATAAACTGCTAAATTACAAATCACTCACGTTTTTTTTTTGTTTTATGAAATTATGATAAGGCATCGTGGTAACAATGTTTTCAAAAAAGCTGACCATTGCGGATAAAAACTCAATTAAAGCCGAAGTTCAGGCAGATTTCTGTGTTTAATTGAAGAATAGTTACCAAACAAGCAACTCTAATGACTTCAACAATTTATTAAACTATGAATATGTTTTTTTTTTTATTTATCACTGCTTTTCTAAAGTTATAAAACTCACATGAGCTGGCATTGTTCATCAATGAGTAAAAGGTACAGCTTTTTTGATTGTAAAAGTTGCTGACTCATGTTAGCCTAGCCTGGATGAAGACTTTTGCCTCTTTCTGCTCACTCTGTGCTCCATGAGCGAAGTCACGACTACTGAGAACACTTCAGGAAGGAGGAGAGCATCTTTTTAGGTCTAGCAGGAGCTGAACAGGATGTGCAACAGGTCGTCACATGACACGTGCAAACAAGCTGCTCACTCCTCAAACAGCTCACTCCTCGAACAGCTCACTCCTCAAACAGCTCACTCCTCAAACAGCTCACTCCTCAAACAGCTCACTCCTCAAACAGCTCACTCCTCGAACAGCTCACTCCTCAAACAGCTCACTCCTCAAACAGCTCACTCCTCAAACAGCACTTTCTTTGCTCGAGTGAAAGAACGACAGAAAGTAAAAGAGCTGCACCTACCCTGGCTGTGTGGACAGTCCTCCAGGTGGAACAGGACCAACAGAGGCTTGTTCCTGAAGCACAAAGCACTCAAATCACCGTCCATGTCAAACACTGCATTAAAACAGGGTTCTGACCAGTTCTTACCTGGACCTGGACCAGTAGAGCGCCTCTTCGTAAGTCTGAGCCCAGATCAGCTGGTCGCCCCAACCTGGACAGGCATGGACAGAGTTTTAGTGAGTCAGTCAAAAAAAAAAATCCAGTCGTTCAGGATTTTTAGAGCTGCACAAACCTCTGGACAGGGTCTGTGGGACTCTCTTGCCGGTCTTTGGGATGTATTTGGCGAAGGATGTGGCCACCAGGACCAAAAGAACAGAAAATACCGCCCTGAACATTATTGGGAGGGGACTGGAACATGATATAAACATGGGTTAAAAAAAATAGACAAATGAAATGAAATACAACTTTTTATTTTAGTTCTCTACTGAGAAATTATTTTGAAGAAAAAGGTTTGATCCGTAACCACTTCCTTTGATTTAAAGGAACAGTCTGGTCATATTTGAAGTGATGTTCTGTGTCAAGGCTGCTAAATGTATCAGACAGCGTGATCAATGTCCATTCGGTCCAAATGTATACTCAGCTCCGGTGCACTGATGAACCTCACCGCTCCCTGACATGGCACCACCGTCTTTCTGCCGTCTCCGACCATTCACAAACCACGTCAGACGAGACGTTCAGAAATGAGGCGAGGATCACTGAACCAAAAGTGTAGTGATTCTTTTAGCTGTTGATAATTTTTTTTTAAAGTAAATATAAAGTTGTTGTGCGTTGTTGTCAGGGCTTAATTTGAGCTGGATCCTGCTGGAACAGGATCCAGGAACTCTCTTATTTTGACAGGGTTTGTTCCAGTTAACTCTCAGGCTAATAATAATAAAGTGATGAACAAATTTGATGGCCTTGAATGAATAAAACTTCTATTGGATATGTCAACTAAAGATAATTACATAAACACTCGTTTTAAACACAACAGCCATTGACGAGCTTCTTAATATTACATATGAGCTGCCTCTTCAAGCAGCATTTCTGCTTCTACCCTTGACAAAATCTCTGTGGTGGGGGTGAGTGCCGAACAAGCTAACCAGGCAGTCAAATGCAGGCAGCCGCCATGAACAGATGGAGGAGGCGCCGGGAAGTTTCACATGTAGAGTTGGACAACAACGAGCAGACAGTGTCCGGCTCAGAACTGTCAAGTAAGGGGGTGTAGGATGCATGACCAAAGCGGAGTGTTGTGTTTACAAATGTAGATAAACGTAGATGTTTAACAACCCGTTAAAATACACCAAAATGCAAAAAATCGCATCTACTTTATTCAAAATTTTCTGGAGGAGGACCCCCAGTCAGCCGGCCCACCAACTATTTGCGTTCCAGCATCGATCAGTTTACAAATTAAGCCCTGATTCTTGTTGCTGATCTTCTCAGTGATGAATCAGCCGGGTGGGGGCACAGACCAGATGTCATCACGTTACTACCTTGCTTAGCGGCACAAAGGCACATCAGCAGCAGGTGGACTTCAACCACCCCCCTACTGTGCAGCCTCTGTCCATTCAATAATCACACCGAAATGACCAAAAGTATCTTGAAGTATTTGGAAAAGCAGTCTCACGAGATTGAAATTTGCGTGCCAACTGGAACAGTGATACGGAAAACAGCGAATAGACAACACTATACTAAAAAGTGTTAGTTTAATATCAGCTAAAGTAGCGTTCTTTCACAGCCGAATGTTTTTTTTTAGATGGTTAGCCATTAGCTTAACTTGGCTGAAGCTTTCTGCTTTCATTTCCACCCTCTGAGCTCCACGACGGACGATCTCACAGACCATTGCTTTAAAAATGACCAGACTATCCCTTTAAAAGAATCAAAGAGCCGCTCATTAAAGTGGGTGATGCAGTATTCTTATTTTCATCAAACAAAATAATCACAGTGCCCTTCAGACCAAGGCCGGTGCTGTTTTCCCTTTCCTGTTGTTTTACTTTACAGCCAACTCTTTTGCCAATGTTTGATCTTTAAAAGCAAAATGAAATTCAAAATAAATTAAGCAAGGCAGATTCATAATGTTTTTGCTGTCTTTTATTTTGGAGCTAAATTAGACATCTGCTTTCCTCTGTTCTGATCCTGATGGAAAAGTCACCTTTTCTCACATCTGCGCTGAACTGGCACTTTTTAAGACAGTTATAAGAAAACCATAAAACCTAACAGCATCAAGGTGCAGCCTGCAGGACAGGCCTCGTAGCTTACCTGGATCTGAGTGGTCAGATAAGATCAGGCAGGCAGCAGCTCCAGAACCTCTGGTACCAGAAACCTGTGCCGACCCGTTTTTAAAGCACCTGTTGACTGAAGGCCCGCCTCCCTCCTCCTCCTCCTCTCTTTGTGCTGATTTTTACTAACTGAACTCTGGAAGCTGGAACGTTTAAGATTTCTGTGTATTTTCTTCCATTATCAGCACCAAATAACCTTGGCCGTTGTATTACTTTGTCAGTTTTTGATAACTACAATGTTACAATGTCATTTTAATGCTAAATAGACGATTCTGCTTTATTTGAAACCACGTTAGTCCATCTCCAATAAATTATTAAAAGCTAAGAAATGCTGCTTTTGTAACATTATGCAAAATGTACGTATAAGCTGAATCTCAGCTAATAACTCACCAAATTTTAGCTCAATATCTGCCAAATTAACTGACTTATAGCCATATTTGTGTTTGCTCAAGTTAGTTGACTATGGAGGCCATCTTTAATCTGACTGACTCCCAAAGTTAAACAGTTGCAGCCTAAAATCTGATAAATATTTTCTCAAAGTTTCATTAAAATCCAGCGAGGGATTCAGGAAATATTTTGCTAACAGACAGCCACTGTTGACTCCAAAATCTAAACATGACGTGTTGGTGCTCAGAATGTGTTTGGGATCAGTCTCGGCTGCTACCACAGCAAACTTTAGCTCAGTATCTGTGAACTTAAACAAGCTGAAGCTATTTCAGTGTTTAAAAGGTCAGTTAGCTGCGGTGGCCATCTTGAATCTTACTCTAAATGTTAGACGTACAGTTAGTGGTTTCCTGTAAGTCTCGTTAAGATTTGTTTGGTGGTTTGTGAAATGTTTCAGACAAACCTTCAGCCTTGGCCTTTGTTTGGTGATAGATAACGGGTCTTAGTTCTCAGGGTTTTGACAAGAGGGAGGTGTTTGGCACGGAGCCAAAGACGAGTCAGCCTTTCGGGCCTGAGCGATGACCGGTGGTTCTCCCTGCCTGTCGGCTGCACGGTGCATCAGCGGGGCAGCCATCAAGACAACCTTCCACTCTCATTTCTATCCAGATGGTTGAAGTTCTCCTCTGAGTAAAGGTGGAGCAGCCCGACCAGAACGGGCCTGACACCAGAGCCGAGTCCTTCGGGCTGCAGCAGGAACCCCCTGACAACGACGGCTTTGTTCTCCTCCGAGGGTTCAGACATTCGATCTCGCTCAGTCCTCTGTCCTCTCACAGTGGACAGAGTCTCCTCTGTGTGTCTTTCTGGACATTTAAACGGTGGAAAGATTCCATCACTTCCAGGGTTTTATGCATGAGGTCATAAAGAAAAGGTTCTGAAATGGTCCAGAGTTAACCTCAGGTGAATCAAAACTCAACATATTCCACCGCCTTGTTATTTATTACACAAAAACTGAGCTTCAATTAAAAAACGAGTCCAGCTCCTGACCCGGAGCTCGTAGAACCTTCAGCAGCAGAACCCTCAGTGGTTTCCAGAAGGTTCTGGAGGAGTTCTGGAACACTCTTTTTTCCATCATTGAGGATTCTGCTCAGATGTAGGTAGGTCCATCACAACATTTGAATCAATCTGCTGTTCTGGACTTTAACCGGATCGTTGCAGCACCTTGGTTCTGTTCTTTTTTGACCCGTTCTGTTGTAGATCAGCTGCTGTGTTTGGAATCTTTGTCCTGTTGGACCCAGCTTCTGTTGTTAGACTGATGAACTCACATCTGACTCCAGAACCCTTTGGTCTCCAGAGAAGTTCATGGTCCACTCAGTGACTGACAGGAGCCCAAACCATCAGCCCTCCACCACCATGCTGGCAGCTGGGAAGACCTGTTTGCTGCAGTGCATTCTGGGTAAACATCTGTCCTTTGGTCTGGCCCTGTCCCAGAAGTCCATCACGCCTGTAGAGTCTGAGATGGAGCTAATTTCTCTGAGCACTGCATGGTCTGACCTTGGGGTGAATCTCTTGTGAAGATTGTCAGCTGTCTGAAATGTTTTCCACTTGTCTCTGTAGAACTATGGACTCCAGAGAGTTTTAAATGACCTTTGACCTTTCTCAGGATGATGACAGCACCAGCTGCTTCTCTAAACTCATTGCTGATGTCTTTCCATCTTGGCATTGTGGTGGACCTTGTTTTCTCTTCTCTACTGAGACACATTTCATGAACAAATTATGAGCTCACCTCTTTAATCTGTGCTACTCGCAGAGTGTCGGCACGTCAGAGGATTATCCTCAGATTATTATTTGATTGACAGCTGATGTCAGACACTTGTCTGCTGTTAATCATCAAGGATGAAAGTGCAAGCGGTTCAAACCTCAGACACACAGCAGAACTTTCAGCCAAACTGTTAAAGGGCCTGAATGACTTTCAGGTCATTTTAATTTCATTTTCCTGTCTGTTAGGAAAATATCTCATGAATCATTGACTAATTTCAATAAAACTTCCAGAAATTAATCAGCAGATGTAAATCTACAGCTGCTAACCAGCCTTAAAAACTCAGTCAGGTTTATTTACAGTTTCTGAGCTCACGTATGCATGTAGCTGAGTGTCCTCCATAATCTGAGTTCCAGCAGATTATTCAAACCTTTGTTATAAATTTTACTGTCTGTCTGTTCAATTAGGAATGCTGGGACTTTATAGTGTGAATGTTTATGAAGCATTCACACTATTTTGATCCATTTCTCTTCCATATGTTTTTCAGCATCTTTCTTGTTCCACAATTTTTGTGCCATTTCAACAAATCATAAATCACAACATTCAGCTCGTTCAGGATAATCCTGCTATGACTTTTGGTATTGGTGCAACTTCAGCTTTTTGAAATATTTAGCCTTTTCGGACATTTTTTTCTCCCCTAGAAAATGAATTGAGCTCATTTTACATCCTTCAAATTTTAGATCTGTTTACAACCTTTTACTGCTCCTTTCACTGTTGTTCTGGTTCAGCTTCTTTCAGCTTCCTTGTGCAAATGTAAACTTTTTTCAGCTACTTTCAGTTCAGCTGTTTTGTGCTCCTTTCAGATTCTTTCTGCTAACTAAAACATGTTTGTGCTTCTTCTAACTTATTCATGCTAATTTCAGCTTCTTATGCTCCTTTTAACTTATTTCTGCAAGTTTCAGCTTTTTCTGCTATTTCAGCTGCTATTCAGCTGTTTAATGCTAAGTTTAGCCTTTTCATCTAATTCTACATTTTTTGCACTCATTTAAACTTTTTTCAGCCTAATACAGCAAAAATATGTGCTCTCTTCTTTTCCTTCTTCTAATTTCAGCTTCTTTCTGCCTTTTTAGCTACTTTTCAGCATTTTTTATGCAAATTTCAGCTTTTTTCAGATAATTTCCACTTTTTTTGGGTGCTAATTTCTGCTTCTTTCAGCCTAATTGGGCAAACATATTCTTTCTGCTTTCTTCTGCTAATGTAAGCTTGTCCTAACTTTTCAGCTAGCTTTTTTTAGCCTTTGTAAGCTAATTTCAGCTGTTTTCAGATAAATTCACATTTTTATGTTAATTTCTGCTACTTTCAGCTTGTTATACTCCTTTCAGCTTTTTAAAACTAGTTTCAACTTTTTCTGCTCTTTCAGTTACTACTCTTTTGATGCTATAGCTTTTTCAGCTAATTCCACAATTTTAGCTCATTTAATTTCTTTCTGCTTCTTTCTACCTTTTCAGCTACTTTTCAGCCTTTTTTTTTATTTACTAATTTCAGCTTTTTTAAGCTAATTTTTGTGCTAATTTCTGCTTAGTTAAACATAATTCAGCAAATATGTGTTATTTCTGCTTTCTTCTGCTAATTTAGGCTTATTCTTCCATTTCAACTACATTTCAGTATGCTTTTTTTTTTTTTTAGCTAATTTCAGCTGTTTTTCAACAAGGTCTGCAATAAGAATTCACACTGCATTTTGACAGAAAATGCAATTTCTTTAGTTTAATGTTTAAATCAGATCAAGCAGCAATAAATTTGTTAACTTTAATCCAATACAGCCCAAATCAAATATAAAGTATATTATAAATATATAAAAAAAAAACAGTCTGTTTAAGGAAAGTGCCTGAGTGAACTCGTTGTCTCTGTGATGATGTGAAAACGTTTGTCAGCTCATTCAAACATCCCATAAATTAAACATGAGTTTTCTGCTGAGCTGAATCAACAGGAGCTCCTGAGCAGCAGGATGTGGAGGACGGTTAGTGCTGAGGTGTCCCAGCTCTGGTCCCCGTCCATGTCAGAACAGAACCACGGTCAATATTTGTCCTCACGGGCCGGGTTAGGACCGCTCCCCGTAATGTTTTACATCCACCAGCTGCGCTCAGCCCCACCCTGATCACACGGATCTGATGCTGTGTAACACACACACCCCTAACCATCATCGTCTAATCAAGCACACCCTCGCACTGATGTTCTGTGGCACTTTTGGCACGGTGACAGTCTAGTGTCTCAAAAGAAATTCACATAAAAGGATAAAAAGATTAAAAAGTTTCATCTGCTGATATCACCGTTGCTGTTTTTTCTCAGGGTGGAATGATTTTAAAACAACTTTTATTTATTTAATTTTTCTAACATTTGCAGGATCAAATGTTTCCACACATTCACCTAATTCTGTTTAAAAGTGGGGCTAAAGGCTCATTGCTGTATTTAAACTTCTGGTCCATTATCCTGATTGACTGCAGCTATTAGTCTTTCTTTGTCCTAATGACACACAGTCCTCCCATGTCTCCGACAGGTTTGAATAGTGAATGTTTGTAGTTCTGAAGATGAGTGTTTTCTGAACTGGAATTGAACAGAGAAAGAAGTAAACCTTAACGTTTTGGGTGCAAGATATTCAAGAGGGTAGGAGTTACACTGTGGAGAAGAATCTGGTGCAATGGTCCCCCCATAGATTATTCTTATTTATTAACCTTTATTAACCAGACAAACCCCATTTCAAGGGAGGCCTGGGCCTGAAGGCAGTCCAACATGCATGTTTAGGACTGTGGGAGGAAACCGGGGCACCCTGAGAAAACCCACGCAAACTTGAGCACATGCAAACTGCTCACAGAAGGACCCCAGGACCTTTGCTGACACCCTTTT